GGTGCTGAGGACACATTCTACCCCGGGTCCACACGGGGGAAGAGCGATTAGCGTGACCCAACACTCGGAGGTTGCTCTTCATGAGTGCCGCGACTAACGGAGTCGGGAGGTCATCGTTTCTCAGTTGCGTGGATCGATGCTCACTATGTCAATCACATCGAGTCGACACGCGAAAATTAAAAGACAGCCATCATGAAATTGGAATATTGCTGAGTGTGGCGTTTAACAACAAACAAAATATAACCTTAATTCACAAACTGATGTAGGACATCAAGGTTTCCATGCAGAGTGTCATTTCTCTGTGTTGGCGATTTAGGTCAATTGAGTCTAGTTTCTGATGCATTCCTCTTTTCTATGGCATTAGCAACTAACTTGTGGAAGAAACTGGTCAAAATGTTTGAACTGCCCACAGTAAGGACACCAAGCCCCTGGAAACTCGTCTCTGTTCACGTACGTATACTTATATGTTTCTCCTAGTTTTTGTTTTTCTCACCAAAGGGTTATCTGATTACTTTAAGATGAACATCGTCACAGGCAACATAATTTAACACAACATTATACATTTTATGTTTCTTAACTTTTTGGGAATATACACATATGTGAATTGATGCCTATGACAGTTGGTTCGAATCCCGGTTGGCCCCGATTATGTTTCTAGGTTTGTCAGCATCATGCTCGTGCTTGTGGATTTAGTGTTAAACGGGGTGGTGGGGTAGTCTATTGGTTAAAGCGTTCGCTCGTCGCGAAAACCCGGGTTCGATTCCCCACATGGGTACAATGTGTGCTACCCTTTTCTGGTGTACCCTTTATATGCTGGAATATTGGTAAAAGCAGCGTAAAACCATACTCACTCACTCTCTTAATAACTGTCTGTCATCTGAAGTGCTTAGAGTTTTTTCTTTATCATGATGGAGGCATATATCTTTTTTAATTAATTTTAGTAAAGCAATGGCAATAGGTTTAGTTAAAAATACAAAATAACGGAATTCAAAACGGCTAATATATAAGAAGAAAACAGCGTTATCACTATCCCCCGCCATTGGGTACATTAAAACTTCCTTTGTTCATATTGTAGTGAATATTAACTATAACAGAGAATAAAGCCTTTAGAAGAGGTAGGCACTTGGGCCGCTTAATTTCAACAGAAAAAAACCATTAAATGTGCAATTAATACACACAAAAGGCCCCTTCTCTGGAATAATAACTCACTCATGATAAGTATCTCTTAGATAAGTTCATTTCAGTAGTTTCTGATAAAACCTTTCCCCATTGCAAACCATAGTAAAATAACATGGATCAAGGGCGATAAAAATAATTACGGCACCACTTTTCCAACACAGCCTTGACAAGTATCTATCAGATGAGCATGCAACATTTCATTCATGTAACTTCAGTAGTTTTTGAGAGAACTCATTTGAGATCATGACCAGTAACATCAGTGTGTAAAAGTCATTTCTCTGACTTACATTATTTTTGAGAAAATTTGTCCCTTTTGAGAAGCGGACGGAAAGACGGGGGATAATAACGATCTCTGCATTCTTGGTTCGATGGCACACATCTTGCAACCCCCCCGAATCTCATTAGTAGGCTCTCATGAAAAGCAATGGTCCAACAACCTGACTCTTACTAAAACATCTTTGAAATAAATGTTACGCCAAGAAAGGTCTGGCCGAGTAATTCCAGAAATGATTTGTAATCATTAAAAACGAATGAGTTTCCGGTTTTGTGGTCGTGTTATTGATAACAGCCCTGTTGTAATGACAAGGGAAATACTGTACTGTATTTATTAATATTTCATATACCTACAATTCGTTATTTGTATGGATAAGCACAATTTACGTGTTTAATACTTCCTATTTACCTTAAGTGAGTCACTTCTTTTTGACAGAAAGATTCAAGAATGTGTTTGTTACACAAATGAGCTATTGGTTGGTCAGCATCTGATTCAGCTGATGATGTATCGGATTCTACGGCGTCATCCAGACAAATAATAACCGGAGCAACACGATTAGTATCTACGCTATCACATCGACGGTCTTGGCGTTGTACTTCTATATCAAGATCTCCAGCTTTTTGCCATTGATGTGGGCTAGCCCTCGGAAAGGATGCGTGTATGATCTCTTCAACTGATGTGAGTTTAAATGTGATGTTATTTTGTGTCATGAACCATTTTCAGTTACTCCAGATAAGCTTGAGTTCACAATATCTGACATGCGTTCAGAGCACAACGTGACTACGTCAGGCAGCCAAGGCATGTGTCGTGTACTGGAGAGGTTTCTCATCCAGACGGAATTGCTCTACGAGTTTTGCTTTCGCTTCAGATGTACTGGAGTCGACATTACAATATGCCAGATTATTCTGCATCGTCGACTTCAGACTGCTCATGGTTGGCGTGACAATGACACTGGGTTTCTTTTAAGATTAGGCAGTAGCCATTCATTTCCTGATGAAAGTCATCTCGTTTCTTTTTACTCAAAGATAAACCCACGCCCTTCAATTAGCCCCGTACCGGGAGATCCGGCATGCAAGGGTTACAATGGGTGTTTTTATGTGTCCATCTGACGGTCATCACATGTACAATGTAATCAGTGAAATGGTTACTGATTTGATGGTTAAGCGATAAAGACGATGCGCAGATAGTGTGCTCGCATATTATCTCTGAAAACTGCTCTATCGTCTTCACGTGAAGTTTACCAAAAAATCATGTAGTGCGATGTGGTCTGGGAAACATTTATAGTGTCTTAAATTTCCGCCTGAATTCAACCAAAGATCGCCGGCATCTTTTGCTTATGTAGTATTTACACTGCAAACTTATCAAACATGTTTCAAACGTATCAGACACCCTACTTGTCCTGGATTTAATATTGAGACACACCTGCGTATTATCATGCTGTAAACTGTTTGGTACGACCTCCCAACAAGTTCGATCATTTACTCCTTATCACATTGTAAAGGGTTTACCCCTATCTTTCTTAGCTGTTAGGGATGTAAACACATTCACACAATGTTTCAGCTTTTCAACGTCATGTCCGAAACTAACCATACTATGGCCCTTTCGAGGAGTTTTCTCACTGGCACTTTTTGTTTTAAGCACTATGTTTCTACACTAAGCGGGTGATTCCGGTAGAACAGGATAAGCTTTCCATTTTCGCGAACACCAGGTTCTGTGATGCATTCATATAATTTTCATCACGATTTTGCCTAAATGCCCTGTTTCGGAGTGAGTTTGGTTTTACGCCGCCTTCAGCAATATTCCAGCAATATCACGGCGGGGGACACCAGAAATGGGCTTCACACATTGTACCCATGTCGGGAATCGAACCCGAGTCTTCGCCGTGACGAGCGAACGTTTTAACCACTAGGCTACCCGACCGCCCCTGTTTCGGCAGATGTTCGAGACATATTATTCTCTGGATATCATTCTCTCTTAATGTTTACGAAAATAGATTTAAACATTCAGGAACTGTGTCAATCCATCAATCCAACATTCCATGACGTGTCACTGATAAATCTAGTTTTGGTCTCAAGCAAGGGGTCAAAAAGAGTTTTTGACACATTGCAATTACTCGTGCAATTGGGAGAAGACAAGGAGCCTGAATGTTACATGACATTTGGTCAATCACATTACGCGACACCAATGGGAAATACTGCCATACTTGTCGCCGACCAATCGCAACCACATCTTCGTGAATGTGTTCGTTTTGTTGAACGTTTATGTTGAACAGATTGTGGAGACAACGCTGTGAACTGTCAATTTTTTTATTGGGTAAAATACGAATCTAAGTCAATGTAGCCAGGTCTTATCATTGGACGAAGCTGTAACCACAACCCTCAAGTCATTACACCGTACTGGGCTCCCACTAGGGTCAACACATACAAAAGTATAATATAAAAATATCACACATGTTATACTGTGTATGTTAAAACGTCACTTCCTGTCACGTGATAAGGCACAACCTGTGTTTAATCCAGGTTGCAGCTTAAGGACACTCAATTACAACAATAACAATCTAAATCAACAATTCTTAAATACACAAACAAAGATATTTACATTATGTTAATACTATGTAATGAATTACCAATGACGTTTGTCTTCACTGCAATTACTTGAATAATTTCAATAATTTCTCTTATCCTTATCCTCTTATCCCAGCGCTGTAAATATGATCAAGGTAGAATTCTGATTGTCTTGATAAAAATATGAGCTTTCGTGGAAAGGATGAGGCATAAGTGCCCTATTTAAGTGCCAGGCATAATTCAAGAAATAGGGTACACCTTTAAAAATCATGACGAAAGTTATCAGATGTGTTCATGTAAACGAGAATAAAACCCTGTTCATTTGAACAACAGCATATTTGGGACTTATAACAACATATACTGGATATGAATGAATAAAATGTGTCAAAAAGTCTGTGTTTTTGTTTTCAGGAAGTATTTGGACTCGAGGAAATGATTGACCCAAGCTGACGTCTTAGAAGGTCTTAGAAGTATATACAAACAGTACAGACATATGGTAAAATATCATCTCGGTTAAAAAAAAACTAACTCATTTGGTCCAGTCTGAAGTTCAAAATTTGCAAGCGTGAACGAAAAATGGCCAGTTGGCACACATGTGAAGATGTCACTTTTGCATAGCAATATTTTTCTGCAACTTCAGTGACCCCTTATCAGAACTCGGTCTTGAAACAAACAACCCCCAACTGTATTTACATGTTTGGGTAAATTTAATGGCAATGCGAAGATTAAAGTAGAAAAAGATTTCGCTCCAAACGATTGTGCGGTTATTATTTGTCAAATATCATCATTGCCATACACCGGTATACCTACAATAGTCTCAGAAAGGAATAATAGTTTTAATATTTTTTGATTAAGTGGACGAACACTGGATTCGTGTTAAGATATATACAACGGGATTTATATATATTGAGAACAACACATTAAACATTGTAAATATTGTGAAAAAGCTAAAAGCTAATTTAAAAGCAACATAGTAACAGTATATTTTTCATTTGAGTACACTACAAGAAAACTTTTGAACAAACTCTTTGTTAATCAGATTAGATTGACAATAACAATTTCCCCAAAATATTTAACAAGCTGTAAACGTCGGAAGGCTGAGAAAGGCTCAAGAGATTAAAAAATGCGGATTTAATTTGCTATGAATTAGGAAATAAAATCTCAAATAAGATTACATTGTTTATTCAAATTTAAGTTAAAACAAATTACAATGAGAAAAATAATTTTTCAGAATATTATATCACAAACACATTCAGAAGGAAAATTAATACTCAGTCAAATGCAATATTCGTTCACTAGTTCCACTTTTATATGTATCACTACTGTTTTTGCCTCACATGCAGTTACCTCCCGTACTTAGTTCATAAATATCGTTGGATCCCCGCGGAGCGCGGTAGAGTATTCAGTATCTCCCTTTCATAATGGCAGATTTTATGACACATTTTATTAATTTCCTGTAGAATAAAACCGAATAACTAGCAACATAACGGGAATGTGAATAAGACATATCAAAAATGAATAGCCGCAAACAATTGTAGACACAATTAGAAATGCAGAATTTCCATACATTTACTCATAAACCCCCATGTCCCCACATGGAATCAAATAAAAGGCATTTTGTGAATGGGACATACCCACTGTTTCTGTACCCCCAGAGTATTGTCCTGGTGGCGCAAGACAAATTTCAAATCTGCATTAATCCTGATAAAAATACATTCGTTGTGACTCGCATTTGTTCGATGTTTGAATGTTCTGAGCCAATTGTTCAAAGGGTCCCCTCCCGTTCCAAAAAGTAATTTCACAAGCCTCAACTGTCCAAATATCTTTTCAGAAAATAAAAGTAATGACAGTGCTTCAATCTTTTTGTGGAACGGGATCCTGACGGAATGTTGAAGATTCATTCAGCAACAAGAAGTTAGCCCCAGTGGAAGTTCCTTATTTCAAAATCCTTGTATCCTACGCTGTGACATGATGCAGAATATTAAAATATACTGTAAAATAAATTTCATTCACTCACTCACTCATTTATTCATATGGCATTCACAGAAAGAACTGAGGAACCTCCTGCGATGGTGATGGGCTGTTATTTGAGTTCCTCAGGGAACCTTGTCTGAACACTGAAGAGAAAAGTCGTTTGATCCTCTTGCGCACTTTAGGATGACTGATTGAGTACAGGATTGGATTAGATACAGTGGACGTTTTGGCCACAATACTTGGAATGACTGCCGTCAGCGGAGTGATGACCGATTGATCACCAAACAGACCAATCAGAGCCACGATAACATACGGCATCCAAGAAAGACAGAAGAAGAGGATGATGACGATAACAATGATGGTGGTCTTCACCTCGGCCTTAAAGAAATATCGTTGTCTGCGAGTTCCTATTGATATTTCTGCAGAATGGCTTTGAAGCCCTCTTCGTATAGACGCCATGGCTGTCAGTATTCTCGTGTAGGAATAGATGATGACAGTGAGAGGAAGAACAAAGTTGCCCACTAGGATTGACAACACAAATGATCGGTTTTTCCACGTTTGGGTCAGATAGTCAAATGTACACGTTGTTCCAATTCCTTCGAGCATGTACTTGCTCCAGCCAAACAGTGGTGCGCATGCCCATAACCCTGAATACAACCAGATGAGAACAATGCATATGATTGTCTTAGTTTTCGAGAGCCCATGACGGGGGTTCAGACGTGTTACCACTGCTGTAAATCTGTCCAGGGATATGGCAGCCAGAGTGTTAATTGTAACCAAACCAGCTGCACCAGTCGTGGCTCCATACATCAGGCATACTGAAAAAATAAATTCATTATTCATTTCGACGGATTATCAATAGAGCCTAAATGCCACAGGCTAAAGTACAATCAATAACATAAGAAAAACATGTTCCGCGCATAACGGAATACATTTTGTATAAACAGTGAAATCAGGTCGGCAGAAATCATTTCTTTGCTGCTGCATACATCTTATGTTGAAACATGCGGATCTGAATTTGACAAAATGTAAGCTTTTCATATTAAGCATTGAACGTATGATAACTTTAGAGAGATACATTTTCGTAGGTCCTTATTTCAGAAATAATATTATTGATTTGATGTTCAGTGGCATAACGTCCCTCCATGGAATATTTTGTAGTGATCATACTGACATGTATTTGTAATACAATGAATACACATGCCAGAAGGAGTTCTCTAATAAGGTCGTACAGAAACTGAACATTCTAACCATTCGAGTGTGAAACATAACCGCGAATGATATACGTGACATTCCGAAACATCCTTTTATTATTAATGCTGAGGAGGCAAATCAGTAATGACGTTTTGACAAGAAGAAAAATGGTACATTAATTTGGGATATGTTCCCCCTGAAAGCTTACATGTGAGTGAGTGAGTGAGTGAGTTTGGTTTAACGCCACTTTTAACAGTATTCAAGTTATATCCAGTGACATTCCGAAACATCCTTTTATTATTAATGCTGAGGAGGCAAATCAGTAATGACGTTTTGACCAGAAGAAAAATGGTACATTAATTTGGGATATGTTCCCGCTGAAAGCTTACATGTGAGTGAGTGAGTGAGTGAGTTTGGTTTAACGCCACTTTTAACAGTATTCCAGTTATATCACGGCGTGTCAGCTTAATGTGGGGGAAAGCCCGAAGTGATGCAGGCCTCAGACGTTGACCACTTCGGTGAAACCCACGAGCACGGGTATGGTGCTGACAAACCTAGAAACATAATCGGGGGCGAACCGGGATTCGAACCAACAATCATAGGATTCTGGCGTGCGAATCGCGGCGCTTTAGACGACTTGGCCACCCGTGCCCCCTCAGACATGTGTTCTTGCGATTAATATTATCTGTCATTTTTAGAACAGAAAGTGGTTAATTGTTAGCTTTGTTGAAGAACAGAATGTCCTGTTTGAGATATGAGTGACATATGATTTGAAAATTTTGCATTTGAATCAAGTTTGCTTAATCATAGTGACGGGGTCGACGGTTATTTTCAAGGAACAGCGAGCAATATACCAACAAGATGATGACGGCCTATACATAATGGAGGCTGGCGCAGGCAAAGCATTGATATATGACCAATGTCCCACGCCGTTGGGTCACAAAGCCGCACAATGTAATGCAGGTAACCAACCGATCAACATTAGTCAACTCGTGCGACACACAAAAACAGACAAAAACTGACAAAACAGCTTCTGGGATGGTTTATCCCTAAGAACAATGGGTTTGAATCTTAGATTATCCACGGTGCTTGGGCTTCTGCTCCGTACCAGCGCTCATGGGCTTTACGAAACTATCAGCCTCATTTTGGTCTTTCCTTTCACGTTTAACTGAATCAGGCGCGCGGGTAACCCAGTCGCATAAGGTCCTGTAATTCGCAGGGCTACGTCCCTTAGGCCTGTCTGAAACGTATGGTCGTGTGGTCGAATGCCGGTTCTCTGTTCTATAATTACCTGTAGAACCAAAGATCCACTTGGAGGAGTAGCTTGAGGCAACAAAGAGAGGGAAATCCACTGAGCTCATGAGGAGGTCAGCAACTGCTAGATTGGTGATGAACAGGTTGGATGACGTCCTTAAACTTCGGAATCTGAAATAAATATTACAACCTTAAGACTGGAGGTTTGGATACCACAGTGCAACAACACAATAACTATGAAAATATGATTGCTATAATACATGATCTATCACTGTTGACATACTGTGAAGCAGGTCACTGTTTCCTCGTGTAACAATAGTTTCGAAAGCATACTGCGTCTGCATTGCTTTTTTTGGTTTGTTTTGTTGTTTAACGCCGCACTCAGCAATATTCCAGCTATATGACGGCGATCTGTAAATAATCGAGTCTGGACCAAACAATCCAGTGGTTAATATCATGAGCATCAATTGGGATTAATGACATGCATCAACCAAGTCAGCGAACCTGACCACCCGTCTGCATGTCATCGGAAAATATGAACATAGGCGAAGTACATTGTAGCACACAATGCGAAGACTGGGTTTTCATGGCAATACCGGGTGGTTGTCCTTGAAAATCAATACGAATCAATAAGCGCCATAAGTAAAACACCATTTCCTTGCAACCCCCAAACAAACGAGTGTGAATTCACTTTGCTGGACCATTTGAAACACACAACTGAAACTATTAAGCAATAACAGACTCCCTAGAACAGAAAGTAAGCATAGTTTTCCTCACATAAGAAGTTTTACTGTGGAAAAATACCCACAAGAGTGAAAATCCTGAACGTGAATGGGGTTTAGATTCTTTATTTGATCCTAACTAGGTGACGTTAGTCAATTCATCTAACCTGATGACACATAAAAGGATCTGTCGTGATGATAGATACAGTTGGTTGGTTGGTTGGTTGGTTTGTTGTTTAACGCCGCACTCGGCAATATTCCAGCTATATGACGGCGGTCTGTAAATAATCGAGTCTGGACCAGACAATCCAGTGAATGACATCATGAGCATCGATCCACGCAATTGGGATCGATGACGTGTATCAACCAAGTCAGCGAGCCTGACCACCCGATCAAAGGCTCGCTGACTTGGTTGTAGAGTTGTAAGACAGTTTTCTTAGCGAGTTGCCTTACATAGTTTCCAGACTTCTTTTCCCAGATAACAACTCCTCCATTTGTAACCACATCTGAGATAAATAATCCGACTCAATACCACCAGCGACTGTGTTTGTTTGTTTGGTGTTTAACGCCGCACTAAGCAATATTCCAGCTATTTGACGACGGTCTGTTAATATTCGAGGACCAGACAATCCAGTGTTTGACATCATGAGCATTAACCAAGTCAGCGAGTCTGACCACCCGATCCCCTTAGTCGCCTCTTACGACAAGCATAGTTGCCTTTTACGGGAAGCACGGGTTGCTGAAGACCTATTCTACCCCGGATCTTCACGGTAAACCAGCGACTGTGATACAAGGCTGTTCGTGACAGGATGTTCTTACAGAATGAAGGCTCATATGGTACTATGATTACAGTTATTAAGAACAACATTACTATACAACGGGCTTATAATATGCATGAGATATGCAGAGAAGAGGAAATCATTACTTATCTTAACTTGAGTGAAGAGAACTGTCACTGTCAAAGCCAAGGAAATCCATATCTAAATAATCGCTCATCTCAGTCTTATTTTTAACCAACAGCCATCAGATTATGATCGAAGTAGACTTCACACCAGTTACGTCCATCTCACATAACAAACTACAAAATGAGTGAGAGACACGTCTTCAGCATTATATCAGAGTGAGTGAGTTAAAGTTTTCGCATCGCATCGCATCGCATCGCATCGGCAATATTACAGCCATATCGCTGTGAGAACAAGTTAATTATTATTAAATACCTGTCGCTTAAGAAAGTAAGGTAAATATCACATTTGAGATATAAAACAAACCAGGTTAAAATTAAAGCAAATAATGTATCAGTAGATTATGTATTATAAATTAAAACCAGGCTATAGACCACTAGCAACCAAAGCTAGACCACCTTACTGGGAATTATGGGGATTTCCAGTGCTTTTGCTTCCTGCATGATTCCCATCATGATTTATTCCATCACTTTGGTCACCATTGGTTGTATGTAATGCTAACCAGTAATAAAAAACAAACCACAATCAAGACAATAAAACACAAGTCAATAGTATACACTCCAATATGGATGGACTCACATGCCACTATTGGGGGACAATAGTGTTACATTACTTTTACCCCCTGAGTGGCACAGACTTCAAAAATATCTGTTGATGATAATAATACGCTATTATAAAATCTTTTAAATTTTATCAAATAATTCAATGTCTCTTAAAACTGCAAGAATTAAACGAACACTGACATTAGTAGAAAGATCCTTTCAATGAAATTGAATGATAAAAAATCATATCCCTCGCGATAGAAAAGATATGTTTGACAGTGAACTTTTCATCGCAAGGGACACAGAGTTGAGGACCTTCGCCCTTTAATATATATATATCCGTGTGTAAAACGAGCATGGCCAATGCGACATCGTCTGATAATGACGTCGTCATGTCTACAATAACAACCCAAGTAGGTGTAGGCTTAGTCCTGCACCATGACCGTGGAATATATTTATTTTATGAAAAAATAATATTCTAGAAATGTATACAAAAGCAAGTCTAGCCAGCTCAAGCTAGCTCTATTCCACAGCATAGGGAATTTTTTTAATTTTTAGAGTCAAGAAGGATATTGTGTAATATAAGATTTCAGAGACTAAATGTTAGTCTAGTGTAGGTTAATTTGGGCTTAGATTCGTGATATTTATTTGTACCTACTTGGGTGTCCTATCATTTCTGATTTACTTTGATTTACATTTTGTTTTGGCGGTAAGAATGTCAGATGACTGTCGAAATTAAGCCCCAACAACTTGGCCTTCACAACTACTTTGATGGGTGTGCCACATATAAATATAAATGGGTCCTTGTGCTGTATATTTTTTTTCTACAGAAGTGAATACAATTAGTTTTTGTTTTAGAAAGTTTAAAGTCGTTAACAAGGGGCCATTTGTGGATTATATTCAGACCTTTTTGCAGTTGTCTCTGAATAGTGTGCATGTTTTTACCGCGACAAGAAAATCGTCCAGGAACTGAATCATTAATAACTTTTGACAGACTGTCTATCTTGATACTAAATAACGTGACAGACAAAAGTCTGATCCTGATCATAATGGTCAGATAGGATGGGACCCACGCGGACTTGGAACTGTCAGTCTGTTAAAAAGATAAAATGAGGCAAATGGCCTCTCAGACCAAAATCATGTAAATCCTTTAGAATGCCATGCTTCCAGGTTGTACCATAGGCTTTCTCAAGATCGAAAAAACTGATACCATATGTTTGTTTATTATAGCATTATTGACAAAGGATTCTAGTCGTACTAAATGGTCGAAACTATTTTGATTTTGTGGAAACCACATTGAATATTTGTAATTAGATTATTAGTTTCCCAATACCAAACTAATCTATTATTTACCATTCTTTTCATGGTTTTACAAAAGATGCATTGATAATTAGAGGGATCTGTATGATCCCGGCCAGGCTTTGGTATTGGGACTACAATGGCATTATGCCACAAAGGGGAAAATTAATTAATAAGTGATCAAATATATCCCAAAGTGTCTCAGACAAGACATGATTCAGGTAAATGTTTCAAGAGCTGGTAGTGTATGTTATCAGCTCCCGGTGTTGTGTCATACCCAAGAGTAGTATGTAGCTCATGTAATGAAAAGACTTCAATATAGTCTTCACCATTATCAGAACTAGACGTTTTTCTTTTCCTGTTGTTTCTGATATTTTTGAAACTCCATGACATATTAAAGACGTTGAAGAGTGTTTTGCTAACGTTTCTCCAAGCATATTGGCAATATCGGTTAATAACGTGACACCTTGATTAAAATGGTGAATTGATGATTTTGAACCTTTGCCTATTTTTTGTATCATGCTCCACACTTTGGATATGGGTGTGCGGGAATTTATTTTAGAGACATAATTCCTCCAATACTGTCGCTTAATTTGTTTAAAAGCACGTCGTGCCTTGGCAATTGTAAATTTAACCTTATCTAAATAATGGACTGTAGGATGTCGGCGGAAAAGCTTTTCCGCTTTCTTCCTACATTTTCGTGTCTGATTGCATTCATTGCTAAACCACGGTTTACGAATATGTGGATTTGCAGAGGACTTGGGGGAATTCTTTCATCAGGAATTTCATCCAGCAGTTCCGAAAACAACTAAATCGGATCTTGAACATTTCGCAAAATGTCAGGTTTTAATTTTTCGATACATAACCTCGGTCCACTGAATCATATGGCGACTCAATGGGTGACCTCTCACGCGAGCGTGAGGAAGATGAACTCCTAGCACTGGCCTGTGAAGACGGAGTTACCTCCATATCCAAAGGTGTAAATGAGGTATGGACAGATACCTCTGAAGGAGAAGGTCCTTAGATGTTGTTGGGCTGACTGACAGATGCAGTTTCAACTGGTTGATCAGAACCCATGTCAACTCAGTCTGAAATTCGATTGATGAAGTGGAGACAGGACGAGACACTGAAGCAGAATCAGTAATGGTTGATGGCAGCTGGTCAGCAACTTGTTGTTTTTGCTTCCAAATACGAGATATTGTTTTGATTTTTCAGTCTCAATATCTGAGATTCAGTTTTCCATACAGGACAGGACTTTGGTGAGGCTTCATGTTAGCCATCACAGTTGACAAACTTGACATCTGCCCTACATTCGTTGCTTTCATGTTTGCCACCACAACGCTAACAAACCTTAGGCTGATCCCATGATTTTGAACCGTAGCTAAACTGTTGACATGTATAACATAGGAGTTGATTAGGGACATACACCTCCATTCAAATGTTAACATCCCAAACTTAAATTGAACGAGGAATTGTCGTTGGTGAAAAGTGAAGACATTGGTGTACGTGGGAGTGATAATACCATCTATCTTTTTGGTAAAACATTTTGCAGCTGTCACTGCTTGATCCTTTAACTGCAACAATTTCTTCGACAATGCCTCGACATCAACCTCAACATTGGCAAACTGACTGATAGACAAGAGATTTAGAGATTGCTGTTTTTCACACACTCGACAAGAATGGAACCACTACGGAGAGGAGTTACATTTCTCACTTCTCCACAATGCCTAATAATATCTTTTGAAATCGCAAATGAATATATAATTTAAAGGTTGTGAGCAGCCTCGATCACCAGGAATCGAGCCCATGAATCGTATTTGTTGGAAATGTTTTCAGAATCATCATGTCTTTTTTTGTCGTTACGAATTGAACAGGATTGTTGGAGTGACATGTTGAAAGAAAAGTGTATCAGCATACCTGCTACCCGCCCGCCATCGAGTGTCAACAAGGACAGTGTTGTAGCGAATCGGAATTCCAGCACGCAAAAACCAGGGATACAGGGATGTTATTCTCCAGCAAATATGACTAGAATAGTGTCTACCAGATGTAGTGCCAGGCTGGCTCAGTCTATGGCAAGAAAGTGGAGACATACAGAATACAGAGGTCAACGGGATTGACCCATAAGCCACCGCCTTCTGGCATAAGTGAGTGAGTGAATGAGGTTAAAATTAACCTCACATCGACAGTATCTCAGCCATATTCTGGCAGAAGACTCTGGGCAATTTAATAAGTCAAACATGTTATATTTGCCAAGACCAAACAATGCATTTGTACAGATCAAAAACAGTTTTGTGCCCAGGGCTTGGCGTGACCAGCCGATTGAAAGAACCGGGCCCATTCTACCAAAGTCGTGTGTTAGGCAAAGGACCACGGTTCTTGGAACAAGTGTCCTCAACTACTAGATTCCCTTCCTCCACCGCAACCCACGGCAAACGGCTTGCCCAATTTTGTTGCCTTTTAACACAAGCAAATGGGGTGATGAGGACACTATATACCCCGGGTCCCCACATGGTGCATTATGCCAGATATCACCACAGGTAACATCAAGTTTCACAGCCTGTACCATGAATGGATTTGAACCCGTGACAAGAGAACGCTTTATCCAGTCAGCTAGCATACCGCCCATCAATTTACCTGCTTGGTGTTATGCTACCCACAAAAATCAAAAAGGTAAACCAAAGGTCATATGGCGATTGAGCCAACCAAGCTGAATCATTCACTATATACTAATTACTCATTCGTTTTCCTTATTGTGATAAATTCGTAAAGTACTTAATATATGGTCTCTCTGAGACACTGAATAACAACAAATTCTTAATGCTCATGTTTTACCATTATAATCTGTGATATATTGCTAGTTGTTGTACTGTCCTTCGACGACAGGTCTTAATATATTATATAAATACATAACTTGCTCAAGTCACGATATGGCTGAAATAATGCCGATGTGACTTTTAATATTTACTCACTTAATGCTCATGGATGTGCATGGCATTACTTAACATACGCTGGTTGTCATCACAGCTGTATGTAACGAAGCTTATGAAGAAAAGTGATATATGCTTTAGTTAATATAAAAGTCAACGCAAGAGAATAATCACTCTTGATAACCTGCCGAAACATATTTCATTGGGCGTTAAAGGCAAAATAATGATGAAAAGTAAAGATCCATCCATTAAATCCTTATGAGTTCTGTAATCTTTTATAGTCTGATAATATGAGGTAGTCATGACAATATATGCGTGAAAGGCAACATCTGATCATCCTCCACATGTTGAGGACACATGTACCTCAGCTGAACAAGCATGACTTTGTATTGCGTTTAAGCATTGGATTCAAGAAAAACAGATCAATAAATAATGACAGCTACCGGATAGCAAACAAACATAGTTGATGCATTTGTTTGTTTGTTTGTTTGTTGATTAACGCCGCACTCAGCATTATTCCAGCTATATGACAGCGGTCTGTAAATAATCATGTATCATGTCTGGCCCAGACAGTCCAGTGATTGACATCATGAGCATCGATCCACGCAATTGGGATCGATGACATGCATCAACCAGCAATAACAGCATGATGGTAATTCATGAAAGTCTTTCATGATTTTTAAT